GGGGGGGGGTATTTATTTATTTTTGGTTTTTTAAAAAAAGGGTCGTTGCTTTGGTTGGTGGTGGTAGCAAAGGGAAGAAGACAAACGCGGCTGAGCATGGTTAATTTCTGTAGCAAGAAGAGTACCTTGGGAGCCGGGCTGAGTTTGTCGGTCGCAACGATCGGCGCAGGGACAATCGCGTTGCCCTCGACGTTTGAAGACTGTGGAATCATCCCCGTTGTTGCGTTCATGGCTCTCGTTGGGGTTTTCACTGTCATTTCAATTGACTACCTTATTTTGTGTGTCGAGGTCGTGCAGCTGCGATCGTATGAAGACATTTCTAAAGAATTACTGGGTAGTTTTTTTGAGCAGGTGACCTGCTGGATGCTCATTGTGTTCAATATAGGCGTTGCGTCGGGCTACATTGTCGTTATTAGGGAGATCTTTGAGCCCTTGCTGCCGATCATCAGGGTGTACATTCCATTTTTTGATGACCCCATGCGGATCACATTAGCGGTTTGGGCATGTGTGATGCTGCCCATGGCATGCGTCCCACAGGTGTCATCCTTACGTTTTGTATCTGTAGTGGCAATTGCCTCAACGTTTGTTATCTCAGGGGTTATTACATACCGATACTTCGCACCACTGCATCCGCCAGCAACAGAAAAGAGTTACCGTGTGAAGTATATTTCTCTATCACGTCGCATGGTGTTGGCTTTGCCAATATTGATGTTCTCCTTTGACTGCCAAACATTGGTGTTTCAGCTCTACGCCAGTATTGGCGAACAGACTCGAGAAGGTATGAGAAAAGTATCTATACTTGGTGTTGGGGTAACTGGGACGGTTTATTTTACGCTGGGTCTCTTTGGTTACCTGTCAAATACGCCGCACGTTTCTGGTAACATATTAGCGAACTACGATCCTATAAAAGACAGGTTGTTCGCGGTGGGGGATGTCATGTATTCCTTTACAGTTATCACTGCCTACGTTCTTGTTTTATTTCCTTGTCGAGATGCTGTATTTATTTTATTGTATGGATACAACACCGCAACCCATGAGTCTTACCATGGTGCCATACCTACTATGGATAATCTGATAGCCACTTGTTTGTTATCTATAATAAGCCTATTATTGGCCTTGAAGGCCCCTGGTATTCTATTCATTATTGCACTATTGGGAGGACTTTGTAGTAGTAGCTTTTGTTTTACACTTCCTGCCGCCTTTCGTCTTCGCTTGCATGCGTTGGGTATTGCGCCGGCTTCCTCATGGGAACTTTTTGTTGCTTTTGTCATGCTGAGCCTTGGTTGTATTGGTGGCGTGATGGGAACAGCGGTGTTGTTTACAGGAATGAGCTAATTGCTGCATAATAATATTATTATTATTTTAGAACGTCTGTGGCCAGTTGAATAACTACCCTTTTGCACGATTGTTGTCGGGAAAATTAGAGATGTACGATTTTACTTCTTTATTTTCCCGCCAACATTGCGCCATGTATTGGAAGGTGCGTCTTTTGGGTGAGTCTTAACCCGCAATTGCTGTGTCCACCCCGTTTCCGCCTCCATTAGGCTTGCGTTTGGGTTAACTGAACTTTTATTGTTCGTCACATTTTCACTTTGCATTATTGTTCGAGTTTGTTTGTTTGTGTGATATTTCAATTTTGCTTGGCTAGGTGGCACCATCCAGTGTTTCTGTGCACGTTTATGAGGATTTTATTCAGCCAGGGAAGGGACAGAGTTGGTGTCTGTTTCTCTTCCTTCTGAAATTCTTCGTGTGGTCTTATCCGGGTCTATTAAAATCATGTAAAGAGTGCCAAACGAAACGCCTCTCGTACTCCACGGCGACTGGTCAATAAATGACCGTGTTGTACACTGTTCAACGGCATTGCTCAGGCATGGGTGCAGTATAGTTTGTGGTAGCGGCGCCTTCTTCTGTGGCCTTTGCGCAGACAGTTCCGTAGGGGAGGCGTTGGGTCCGTAGCAGCTGCCGTAGCCACGAACTCACCTCTGTGCCACCGCGGAGTAGGCCAACAACTTCTTCGTGTAGGCCAACACTGGCGATGCGAGTCGCGCTCTCTTCGGCACCGGGGGCTTGCCGTCGCGGAGCCGCTCCTCTGTGGGTGTCGCGGCTTCTATGGCGCTTTCCCCTGCCTTTTGGCCCACCACGCTGCGAAACTGCCGTGGCACGAGCGGGGCCCATGGCGTCCGCCTGCATCTGGCACCGGGTCGCCGCTTAATTCGGTGGGCCGCGATTCCGTTGCTTGCATGGGGGCGGAAGTGAGACACCCTGCGCGGGTTATGCGCTGCCCCGCCAACGCGTTCCGCACCGCACGGGGCCTGAATGATGACAGACGTCCTCTGCCTCCTCACCGCCCCGCGCACAGACCCTCTCACAGTGCCAGTTCCGGCGCTTAGCCGTCGCTGGGCCGTGTTGCGACACATGCTTCGACGAGGACCCGAGCCGGGGGCCGTGCGCCGGCTGGCTCCTGCACCTTCCCAACCGAAG